GCTGTCATAATTTTTCTCTTAACTCTAATTAGCCTTAGGTTAGTCTTCTTAGCATCACATAGTAGCTGTTGGATGGATTTTCCTTGATCTGTATTGTTTGTAAGATTTTCTCTGAGTCTATGTGCTTGATTACTGAAACCCTGTCTTCATTTTCTCTGAGTCTATGTGCTTGATTACTGAAACCCTGTCTTCACAGTAGTTATTTCTGCTATTTATGAATTCAGCAGAATTTTATCTCTGGGATTTCTGTTTCATGCCTTTTCATGGTATGTTTCTTTAGTAAATTTGTTATTTGTATCTTGAATAGATTTGGTCAGCTCTTGTAATTTTTTTTATTTGATTCTTCTATCACCACATTGGTCACTTTGTTTACTAGTTCTGTCTTTCAGGTTATGTCATTTTTGAGCTTGTATGGTTTCTTCGCTTCTTCTCTATAATTATTTCATAGAGCTCAGTTGTCTGGTACTGATTTTGTTTCCATAGGTGCCCATTTGTTGTGCTTTGGAGAGTTGGGATTCTTTGGAGGCATGTTGTTGCCTTGTTTTTTCATGTTTTTGGGTGTATGTGTGGCGGGGGGGTTGTGTTGCAGAAATTCTAAGAGACTGGAGAGACTGATGGATTAAAACAGGAAGATTTTATTAGGTGCACTGGACCAGCCAACTAATGTTTGAAAGCAGGCTGATCCCAGAACAAAAGGAAAGGTCTCCTTTTGTACAATTAGTGGCGCTAAGTAGCTAGAGATGTGAAGCAAAAGCAGCCAATCTTATCTTGACCTTCAAACACATCCTGTGCATCTCAGGATGTCAGGATGTGGTAAAGCTTGTTTACAGCCTCCATTTGTTAGTTTTATCTGTGATGGCACACAGTATTGCTCCTCTGAGGGAGGAGATGCCCATGAGAGAACTGCTTGAAGTGTCTTTTATCAGAGAGAAAGCACAGGACCACATTCCTGAGGGAGGATTGCCCCATGAGCTGCTTTCCTGGAGCTGGGAAGATTTTTGAGGAGAGGCTAGTTTCTCTCAGTTCTGCTTTAGTTGCAAGTCAAATAGAATGAAAAGTATGTGTTGTTGGTATGAAGATCTGCTTACTTAGGTTCAACCTGTTCAGTTTTATTGGGTTCAGCCTGGCTTAGCCATGTCTCAAGCAGTGTTGTTAGGAAAGAATTTCTGCTGGTTATAAGAGCATCAATAGATCCAACCGTACAGCATTCATATAAATTAAAACTTGTTCTTACACTTTTGTCCTTTCATCAGTGCCCCTCTTAGTCTATAACAGTGATGGCAAACATTTTAGAACTTTCAATGATACAGACAGCCGGCTGTGGCACGTGTGCCATAGGTTCATCACCACTGGTCTACACTATGCTGTTTTTGCCAGCTAGTCTGCAGTATAGAGTAAGAAGGGAAGGGAAAAGGAAGGGGAAAAGGAGCAGTGTAAATCAGGAGGAAGAGAAGGAGGTCAGAGAAATATTAATATGTTAAAAAATGGGTTTGACTGTGTTGGAGGTATTTTATAGATGGAGTAAAGGGTAGTGTTGAGGGGGTTTAAGAGAATATTTGTAGGGGCTGGGGGAGGGAGGTGATAAGAGACTGAGGAAACCTGTGAGGCTGTCAGAATTTGTTCATATATTTGTGATTAGTTTTGGTTGAATACTTTAAGCATAGTTCTGTAAAGGGTTACCCTGATATGCCCATGAACGGTACCATTCAAGTTAAAGCACTGCTTGATTTTTATTTTCTTTTATGTATACGCACCTGCTGTATATATGTTGCATGAAAGATGGAGAAGTGAGGGAAGACAAGAGACAGATAAAATAAGAACAAAGAGAATAGAACAGGGATGAAAGAAGGTTAAAAGGAAAGACTGGGAGAACAGTGTAAAGGAAAAAAACTTGAAAAAAATAAAAAAGTTAAAAAAAAAAAAACCAAAAAACAAACCTTACATAGATGCAAGAATTGAAGAAAACAGAAAAAGAAGAGGAGGGGCAGAGAGAACCCGGAACAGACACACAAGCAAGAAAATGGACCCAGCCCCCCAGAGGCTGCTGCATCCTACAGCCAGAGTCCACATAGCTCCCTTCTGCCTGTGGTTGTAGTCCACTTGCGGGCAGCCAAGCAGCCAAGCCTGCAGGTTGCTTCACCGCCCCACCAGGAGTGGTGAGAGGTGTCAGTCTCTCTGGGCCCAGCCCTTGCTCCAGGCCATGCTTTGGACATGGTTAACTGTAGTCCTTTGTTTTCTGTCCCAAGATCAGCAGCCTCAATTAATTTGGGGAGAGGAATCTGTGAAGTAGTTTGCCTGGCACCTGGCTCTCCCTCACCTTATGTCAATGACTTACCACTGTCCTTGTTGCTGGGCAAATCCCACTCTCCTGTCCATATTCTACCTCCCTGGGCTTTATGCCCAGTGTACTGCCAATAGTTCTGTGGCCCAAATGACTCCCTCTGGTCCGTTGCACTCAGAATCCAAACTGGTGCTGACTTGAACTCTGCTTTCTAGGCTGCAGAAGTAGGCAGAGTCCCTGGGCTTGGCTGAGCGTTTCCTTTTCCCTTGAGGAATGGTGGGTATGGTTAGGATTTCCCGCTGCAAACTTGTTCTTTTTCCAGTCTTTGAGGAAACAATAGGAAAGTGCCCGCTCTGAACCAGTTGTTCAGTCTCTCTCCCTCCCTGTGTCTCTGAGGGTGTGCTCTGTGGGTCCCTGCCCAGGGGCACAAAGCACCCTCAGTTCATGGTGTCCAGCCTCTGCCTGGCTAGGGCAGAGGTAGTGGCAGTGGGTAGGATGCCACCGTGAAGCAGTGTTCCCTAGTTTGGGGAGGATGACATGGCGGGGAGGGACAGCCTGTTTCTATGCTGCCATCTCTCCTTTTTTCCTTTGTGGCTAGTGGTTTCCCTGGGGGACTGCAGTTTATTCCCATGAGTTTCCTCTTCCAGATGCGAGGGGAGGGTATGCAGTGCTGGCTCCTCCCCACAGGCTGTTATGGCCAGTCCTAAAATGGCTCCCTAGATGACCTGGGCAAGGGAAAGGCACCTCTTCCCCTTTTCAAAGACCCAGATATTTGATTTGTTATAGATTTATTGCCTTATTTTTTATCTTTCTTTATCAGAGCAAGATATGTGAATTACATCAAAACATCAGAGGTAGTCAGACTTCCCTATCCTCTCCAAATGAAATCTTCAGGTCCACCTTCTTACTTTATTAAAAGGGAGTCATGGGGCTGGACAGACTTTCTGATGAACCCAATGGTATGTATTAAGTTAAGGTAAAGTATTTTCTTAGTCCCTAATTTGTGTTCAGACTGTTAAAAACTTCAAACCCCTGTGAAATGGAAAGCTGAGGTCAGACTTTTGGAGGAAAGGATTATTGTGAGAAATATATGAATTTCAGGAAATTGTGGCCTTGGCAGTGAAAACCATACAGTGATAATGGCACTGGAGATTTAACATTGAAATGTACAACGGCAATTGAGTAAATACTTATGGTGAAACATTTAAAAATGTAAGTAGAATGAAAGAATGTAGTAAGCCACATATGGAATTATCCTGTCCTGTCTTATACTTACATATTAGTCCACTAATAAGTATACCATCATCTATTAACTAGTTCCTGTTGATGGTACAAGTAAAGTTTTCTTTCTATTTTTTTAATATATGTAGTGAGCAAAGAAGTTATTCTATGATAAATTAAGTAGCTGGTATTATCAAGAAGCAGGTATTATGATACTAATAATAAAATGAATAGAATACATTTTTAGGAAAAAATTAACCTTTTTTGAAAGTTGAATTCTTTTTTTTTTTTTTTTTTTTTTTGAGAGAGGGTCTTGCTCTTTTCTTCAGGCTGCCCTTGAACTTGCAGCAATTCTCCTGCCTCACAGTGCTGGGATTATAGTCATGGGCCACCGCTCCCGGCTTGAAAGTTGAATTATTATCTTTTAAATGTCTAAGTTTTTTTGTGTGGGGGGTCCTGGGAATCAAACTCAGGAGTGCCAGGTTGGGGATATAGTTCAGCAGCATAGCACCTGCCTGGCAAGCATAAGGTCCCTACCAAAAGTAAAGAGAGAATCGAGCAAACCTAGGAGAGCTTTACCACTGAGCTACAGCAGATCTCAGTAAGTTGCCCAGGCAAGACTCGAACTTTCCATCCTCCTGCTTCAACCTCCCACAAGTGCTGGGATTACAGATATGCACTACTGTGCCTGGTTAGAATTCTCTTAAGTCTTAGCTGGTTGTAGTGGTACATAGCTGTAGTCTCAACATTTGGGAGACTGAGCCAGGAAGACTGCCTTGAGTTCAAGGCCAGCCTGCGCTACATAGAGACAACCTGTCTCAAAAAAACAAAATAAACAAACAAAAAACATTGCCTAAGGTTTGATTGTATTCCTTGCTGACAGCTATTTAGATCACAAACAAGACTATTGGGGGGCGGGTGCTGTGCATCCTAAACTAGTTGCCTAGTACTATATTGCAGGTTCTAGAGGACCTTTGTTATGAGAGGTGTTTTCTCTAGGATCCACAGTCATTTGGAAAGAACAGCTCAGCTGGCTTTGCAAACTAGTGTTAAATACAGCTGTAAACTGCACAGATAGGTGGGTAGCACAAATAAGAAGTGAGGTGTCAGGAAAGTCTGGCACACCCAGCTAGTCTTCCTTCCTCTCACACTGTACAGCTGGGTGGTGCCTTGCTGTCATCAGTCCAGTCCAGAAGAATAGAGATGACTGCTGCATGTTCCATGTGCACATTGGAAATTTTAATTCCACTATTGGTGGTTAAGTTTTGTTTTATAAACTGTAAAGCAGGGGAAAGGATTTCTGATTTTCTTTTCTCCTGCAGGTTATGATGATGGTTCTTCCATTATTGATATTTGTGCTCTTGCCCAAAGTGGTTAACACAAGTGATCCCGACATGAGACGGGTAAGGTGATGACCCCTGTGGATTTTTGATCCATAGTCTGGTGATTGGTCTTTTCCACTGTGGCTGGGTGGCTTGTTTTCTCACCTCAGCTAGTTCCGACATAAAATTCATTAAGGGTTTGTATAAACATAGTATTATGTTCTTGCATTAAATTAATATTTTCCATCAGACAAAATAAATTCAGCTGGTTTTGCCTGAGAAAGGGCTGTGTCTCTTCGTATAGCTAAAACATTCTGGTCACAGGCTCTTTGTATGCCTCACCTGTTAAGTAGTTGAAATATGTAACCCTGGTGCATCTAATTCAAATATTTTGAAAATTATTGCTCCTTTAATGTATCTTTACTTAATAAAACCCTCTTCAGAGTACATGTTTATGCGTTCAGATACAAAAAGAAATTCGGGTAGACCAAAGAGGATAAAAGAATAGTGGCAGTCGAACTCTTAACACATCTGATTCTGCAAAGTGGAAAGGAGCTGTTAAACAAGATGCTTCAAATTTAATGATACCACTTTGTCTCTTATTGGCTTCTATATAAAAACATTTTTTAAAAATCCATTATCTTCTTGTTTCCAGCAAATATCCATTGGACAAAATAAATTGGACAGTGTCCTCTACTATTTTTAGTATTTTGATGTGTTATTGTCTTATTTATTCCTGGCTTCAGACTGGATAATGTAAAATGAATTACATGCTCTCTCATCAACAAGCTTATAATCCAATTAAATGTTAGACATACAGTTGATTTACAAAATACTCCCTTGCCATCAGAGGATTTTTTTTATGATGGGAAAATAAAAAATAAAATGAGTAAGATGTTTTTGCTAAGGTATGATGATTAAGTTCTGTAGAATGTAAGGCATCTATCACATCTGTACTGGCAGAAAAAACTATATGGAAAAAGGTTATGAAGTTTCAAATGTTTTATTGCTAAATTTTGGTACCTTTGCCTCAGTGTTGGTGGAAAAGTAACACATCCTAGGCAATCCTGGTCTCTTTGAAGCTGATGGACTCAGTAGCATCAGTAGAAAGAAGCATCAGAAGTTACGTTTGATTAAATTATTGGCAAAGTGCTTTTACATTGCAAGCATTATAAAAAGTTGTTGATTTAAGAACTTCACAATTGGGCAGTTTCCTAGTTACTTTCCTCTTCTGGCTGAGACAAAATACCCAACACACAAAATTAAGGAAGGAAAGGTTTATCTAGCTCACAGTTTGTGGAGGTTTCAGGCCATAATCAGCTGGCTGCAAGGCAGAGTGGCGCATGGCAGAGAGCAACAGTTCATGGCTCCAGAAGACAGCAGAAGCAACAAGAGCAAAAGCGGGAAAAACAAGCCTCTTTTCCTTCCTTATATTGTGCTCTGGCTATCTGCCCAGGCCATCTCAGAGCCTTCCTGTCTTTACAGAGTGAGGACCCTGGCCCCCTGCTGAGTCACTTAAACTTCTAAACTTCTTAAGTTCACACAGTGTATCAACCATTACAGGCCGGTTCAAGCCAGGCATGATAGCATACACCTGTCATCCCAGCACTCTGGGAGGCTGAGGCCGAAAAATTTGAAGTTCAAGACCAGCCTTAGCCACTTAATGAGACCATCTCAAAATTTAAAATTTTAAAAATGAGCAAAATTTAAAATTTTACAAATTCAAAATTTTAAAAATCATGAAAATGGGGGTATAGCTCAGTGTGAAGGCCCAGGGTTCAATCCCTAGTAGTGAAATATATATATCTCAATGATATATTTTGTAGGGACTCAAGACATGTTACTATATATATTTAATTACTGATTATAAGGCATGTTAACATACTTGATTTATATTCATAATTTTTCTTTTCATGGCTTTATTTGTAAGAGCACCTTCTCCTTTAATACCTATGAGTAAATTCTGCCTTGGGGAAAAAGCCTAAAGTAATATTCTTTAACAGTTTCCCATTTGAAATTATAATGTAGTACTTGTTGCTTCCCCCTCTTTCTCTGTTTCCCCCTCCCTCCTTCCCTGTCTCTCCCTGTCCTGCTTCTCCCTCCTCCCCCACCCCCTCCCTTCCTCTTTCTTTCTTTTGGATTTTTGAAATAGGGTCTTGCAATGTAGTTCAGCTTGACCTTGAACTCACTGTGCAGCCCAGCTGGCATTGAACTCACAGTGATCCTCCTGCCTCAGTCTCCCAAGATTACAGGCTTGAGCTATCATACCTGGGCTGCTTTTTCAAATAAAATTCAAGTATTTTTAGAAAGTCACATAAAACTTAAATGAAACAGACATTATACTAAAATACTAATAAACAGACAATATGCTATATTGCATTAATGCTGAGAAGTACTTTATAATTGTTAGTTCAGTAATGGGGAGGACAGAAATTCAAAAGTGTTAAGTCCTTGTCCTGTTGTGCATGTGACTTGTTTGTAACACTTGCATTGCTTGCTTTACATGCTGTCACCCAAAACATAGAGTATTTAGGGATTTACAACTGAAAATGAGAAGTCAAGTCTTGGAAATACTGAGGTGTCTTTCAAGCTTTCCTGATACTTTGATATATTTGGTTAAAGGTTGATATTCTGACTGTATGCATTTAAAGAAACATGACCTTGAAAGAATACACATTAAGATATGAAAGCATAATAATCAGAAAAGAAAATGGGATAGAAACATCCAATATCAGAAAAAATGTCCTTTGCTAAAATATAAACTAAATCAAACCATAGGCCAGCATTTATTAGCTACTTGCTTAGGATCAACATGTTTAGTGGTACAAAGGAGCTATAGAACATGGTTACTAATGAGGTTTAGGTAAAGTACTTTGTAATTAATTAATTAATTTCAAAGTAGAACTCAAACCCCGAACCCCACACTTGCTGGCTTCACACTGAGCCCCACTGCCAGCTCCAGTAAAATAATGGTGAGTACGACATTGCATCGTTACTCAGAATGATTGAGTTTTCCTTGTTTTATTCCTTTTCTTGTTTAGTAGGAAGTGTTCAGTGTCTTTCATACCTTGTGCTTTTTCTTTCTATAGGAGATGGAGCAGTCAATGAACATGCTGAATTCCAACCATGAATTGCCTGATGTTTCTGAGTTCATGACAAGACTCTTCTCTTCAAAATCATCTGGCAAATCTAGCAGTGGCAGCAGTAAAACAGGCAAAAGTGGGGCTGGCAAGAGAAGGTAGTCAGGTGTCTGCTGCTGGCATTTGCACAGACATGGCAACACTGGGTGTCATCCACGTCCTGAGGGAAAACTGTATGAAGTAACTACTGTAAACTTGGGTCATCCTGAAGTTGATCTCTTACAACTATTGTATATGTTAACTTTTTAACATGTTTTGTACTTGGTACATAAGCAAACCCAGGTTTCAACCTTTGTCTGTATGAGGTCAATATTGATGTCACTGAATTAATTACAGTGTCCTATAGAAAATGACATTAATAAATTATATGAAGTACTATACATTATGTATATTAAAAGAAATCTTACTCCACAGATCACATTATCTCATGTCATTTTTTTTACTTGTTTCTTTTTTCCTGACAGTTTTCATCTGTCTTTCATTATCTGAAGCTTGAAATGACCTTTCCAGTGTAAACTCAAGTGGTTGTTATTTTTACAGCAGCATGCACCATGTCTCTGTGTGTGTGTGACCATACCTTTCAGATTCTCAGCCCGTTTATCCTGCTGTGTAATATTCTGTGATAGCTCAGACTGAACCACATGTTCCTGATACAGTTACAACTTCTATTATAGTTAGCTTCAGAATATAGATAGATGTACAAATCAGCCTGTTATTTTTAAACTCTGGTTACCATCTGTGGTATTCATTTTATAATTATTATGTACCAACTGTTTGTTATGATCCGCAGTAGAATACAAAGATGGATAATATACACATACTGTCTCAGTAGAGCTTTTTGTATAAGGCAGGAGAGAAATGCTAACAGAGAATGAATGGCCGAGGGAGGGAAGCACAGTGGTAGGAAACCTTCTAGAATTTAAAGATAGAAAAGCAATTGTATTTTGATATTGGTAGTATACCCCTCTCTCATTGATTCTTAGAATTATTGCAGTATAAATTACTATCTAATTAGAAGCATCTAAACATTTTTTTCAGTAAGTTAAAAAAAAATTATACCTTTCCCTTCTGGGTTTTAAGTAAAGAAACTCTGAAGTCACAGTAATCTCACAGAGAGCTCCCATTCCCCTGTGTTAAAGGACTCCTCTGTTCCTTTCCCTTTTTTTTTTTTGGTACCGGAATTGAACTCAGGACCTTGTGCTTGCCAGGCAGGTGCTGTGCCAGAGCTATCTCCCCGGCCCTGTTCCTTTCTTAAAATTACTACACTGTCAGAAAACATGTTAGTTCCAAACTTCACTTTCCCATTTGTATTAGCTACATTGCTCATTTCGAAATGAAATACATAGTTTTCCTTCTAAAGAAAGAATTTCTAGGAGCTAGGAATATAGCTCAGTTTTCAAATACATACTTAGCACATGCAAAGTACTGAGTTTAACACCAAGCATACACAAGCAAAATTCTGAAGCAGAACGTTTTATTAGCTATATCTCTTTGAATTGCATACACCACTGGCACCAAACTGAACTATAAGTGATTAGATGAGTTAACTGCTTAGTGGTAGAACTAGGTTACTGAAAATAAAGTGTAAGAAAATTTGCTGAATGCCATTCATTTGACTAGCTTTCTAATTGAAAGTAGTGTTCTAATTTTTACTTAAATATTAAGAGGGAGAATGTGACAGTTTTCTTTGTAATTCAAAAGAGACAGTAAGGTCTAATTGTATGATTAGATAGCATTTTTTAAAAATTAAAATTTGCACATGGAATATCTAAATACCAAGCAATCAAAAAACACCCCAAGGAAATTACTGTTTCACATGCTAGTTAAGAAACTATTTTATATAGATTCTAACACCATGTGGGTACTATATATATCTTACCATATCTCAAAAATGCTATGTCAATCATATATGAAGAGCTTATCTTTCCATAAAATGCTCATCAAATGTTTAGCATGCTTACAGGTGCAGAAATGATTGCATATTATTAGACAATTCAATGCAAAGAGCCACTGTGTAGCTGCTAACTTGCTTTGGGCAAGTCACTTTCCCGCCATGGGCCATGGCTTATTCTGGTTTTTCTCCGGTACTAGGAACCGAACTCACGACCTTGCGCATGCCAGGCAGGCGCTTTTTGCCGCTGAGCTAAATCCCCAGCCCCGGGCCATGGCTTATTCTTTGTTATGTCTCCAGCACTGAGCACAGCAATAAATATTTGTTCAATGAGAAAATAAGGGGCTGGGGATTTAGCTCAGCGGCACAGCGCCTGCCCGGCAAGCGCAAGGTTGTGAATTCGATCCCCGCTACTGGAAAAAAAACAATTAAAAAAGAAAAAGAGAAAAGGAGCTGTAAGCCTCCTCATCTATAACTGGAAGGGTTTGGATTAGACCTGTGTTTCTTTTCAGATCTCAAATTTTATTACCATTTTAATTTAGTGCTGTTATTTCCTATCCTTTACCATATCAACAGTGCCAAGTTTTGTTGCTTTTTACTTCCTTGGTTTCTTTCTGCTATTCTACATCTGGGAAGAAGTATTTCGCTCTTTAGAACTTGTGTTAGACTCAGTTTATGTGTATCCCCTTTTAAATGTTAAGTTTGAGCAAACAGCACATGCAGCTTGGAGTGGCTCCTCAGCAAGCAGGGCACTGCAGCCTGGAGCAACAGGACACTATCCCCAGGAGCTGGACAAAGCCAGCAGTTGGTGAGTGAGATGAGCCAGTGCTGTGCTTCCGGACACACACATGGAACAAAAGTGGGGGGGTGGGCTGCCATTGTATTTCAAAGGGATCAAGGTGAAACCTAGCAGCAGAACAGCCCCTGGTCCCTTCACTGCCAAAGTCCCAGAGTGAAATAAGGCAAGAGCCTTCCAGTCACAGTGGACTGCTGCCAGTTGGGAAACAGGCTAGGGGAATTTCTGTTGAAATGTAGGAGCTGGGACTGCCCAGACTCCATTTGGGTGATTGCCAAAAGCTACTCTAACCCTAAATAGAAAGGACTAGAAGAATCCCCCTAGTCAGAGCAGCAGAGGCCTTGCCACAGAAGCACAAGCAGGCAAGCAGCCTTGTCCTACAGACAGGGCACTTCCCCCACCTTACGATCAGTGGCGAGAGGAGCTAGTGGTGCAGAACAGGAAGCTGTGCAGGGTCAAGAAGGAGACAGTTGTGCACTGGGCTGGGAACAACCCTGGCCTTTCCCTACCCAAGGGCACCATGGCAACTGGGATAGTAGGGTACAGAGAAACACATCAGCTCAAGACCAGTCCCAGCTCCCACATCCAGAGGACTAGATCAGCCCCTTACCCAACACAGCCTACTGCAAACTTGGCTGGGCTACACTGCATTTCTGGGATCTGAATTGGACACTTACCACAGACCT